TTTGCCAAAACTGGAGGATACAAGGCCGTCATCAAACAACGGGCCGAGACGGTACTCATCGCCGTATTCGAGCTCACAGATTTCGTTAGCGAAGGACTAAAGTACGATGTCACTAGATACGGTGCGACAGCATGATCTATCATCACCTTTGGCCTGGGGGTAAGAACTGGTACTGGAATTGACTGCTCGTGATATTGACAATGGACATTAGCTTGTGCAGAACGATCTCGACAGAACACAATCCATATTCGAAGCTTCCGCTTTCCTGGCGGATCTCCTTGCACGCTACGCTAGTATCCTCCTGTCCAGCAAAACCAGCCAGCAATCCTTTCCAGGAACCGAATAGCAATGTCTATATGGCCGCTCTTATTGTTGACCCACGCCACCAATCTGCTGAAACACAAACCATTCCAAGTTCTTCATACCTCCACCACCTTTCTTCTGGTATTCAGGTTAAATTCTGAGCTTGACCATCTTGTGAATGGCGCCATGCATCGGGTCACTGGACCTGATCTCCGCGCTTGATTCATTCTCGAGCTTCAAAAACTTTGGCTGCAGCACAACAGTTGCTTTGTTTGGCAGATCAAGTAGTGCTCGTCGGTACTCATCGCTGTCACTGTTGATTTGTAAATGCAAGTGCAGAGAAGTGCTCAGTCGCACCGTCAATTCGGTGAGCTTGGGGAATCGAGTCTGCCAATCCTGCCCTCCTGCCTGCTGTGGCGCGTTGGGAGTAGCAGCTTTGTGGACAGAACGGGGACGGAGAAGCACCAGCCAATCGTTCTCAAACGACGGCTCCAGGCACTGTGTCGCGTTGTCAATGCGACGGTACAACTCCAGCTGTATCACTAGTTTGCGAACGTGACTACCGAACACAAACGGAGGGAAACGCCACTTGTCGTCAGCGCCCGGGGTAACGTGCCCCCAAGACACGCCAGAGCGCCGAACGACAAAGGTGTTGCCACTGTAGTACACTTGTGCGGCAAGGGCATGCATGCGCTTGTTGACGAGTAGCAAAGTTGGTAGGTTCAAACCTTCCTCGATGGCCTTGTGGTTCCTTGCCATGATGAACTTGTTGGTGCTGAGGGCGTACGTGAGGATTTGGACCTTGAGCTCATCGGGAAGGGCGTCGAAGCCGACGCGAGTGCCGCCGGAGGGTATGTTCTGAGTCATTGTTAGCTTTGGAAGAGGGAGTTAAACAGATGAGTTAGCCGTGAGGTTCGGCTTCTGGTGTGTTGTAGCAGAGAGAGAAGGAGCTGGCGATGTGAGTTGTTGACGTGCCAACTAGTGCGTGCGTCATTAACGCGCGCGCGACAGGTGAGAGCAAAAAGCTGCGGTGACCAGTACTTAGGCAGCAACCTCTGCGTTTGCTCCACATGCTCAGCTCGTAAGATAAAAGCACCATTGATAAGAAAAGCGGTGTCAGAGCGGGATGAGTGTGATCGTAGACTTCGTACACCTCTCTTTTTGCCTGTTCGTATCAATCCAGACTTGGACTTAGTACGAACCAGAGCGATTAGCATGCTACTTATCACTCTTGAAGCGCCAGCTATGTCTCCTAAGATAACAATGTTACCTTCTGCTCAGCACATGTGGCTACTTAAGACCTCATGCGTCTTCGTTGTCGTTGCCAGCAGCTTCCATTGTTCAATGATATCGGCGTGCTTATCGCAATAGGCACTCGCAATGTCATCATGGTATTCTAGCGTCAAGTCAAGTTCCACCTCCTTTGCCTTGAACAACGTCTTTGTGTCAGCTAAGCATACTCTCGTTTCCTCTATCAATTCAGACGGCATACAACAGTCTTCATAGCCTTCTGTTAGATTGTTCTCATCAAAGAAATGGAAGCTGAGCTTCAGAGTATGCAGGTTCGTAAATCCACGTTGCCAGGTATTGTCGTGGGGTGCCGTCATGAGCCATATCGGTCTCACGATTGGTGAAGGCAGGCCCAGTGCGTTCGAGTCCAATAAGGGACGTGTTGCCTGAAGCATAAAGGCCAAAGGTTGCGAATTGCACAGTAGTATATGTTCCAGTCGTGAAACATCCATGGTGTAAGCCTTAACGGTAACGCGTAAGTGCCGAATCATGCTTGCTATTTCTGCAGGAGGGTAACGAAAGGTGACTCGTTGAGACGAATGAGACGGTTTCTCCTCGATACAGATTTCGAAGACATTGTTGTTGTAGTAAGCGGTCCGGGCCAGCCGGTACAGTTCCTTGTTCCGCACCTCATAGATAGGTTCCATATGTTTGCGGAAGATGACTGTATAGTTACTGTCTGGCACGGGGCTTTCAGGAATGTCACCAACGATAAAGCATAAGACATAAAATTTCAGCTCCTCGGGAAGGTGTGTCCATTGCCTGAGCGATGGAGACACTGTTGCTGTTGTGATTTCGTCTTGATCTTGCTGGGTCGTTGTCGGCATATGACAACTTTGGATCTGGTTGTGACTCAAGGTCAATGAGCATATCTTATACCATAGCTAGAAGTTTGCTCCTGTATGTCAGCAGGGCATATGCTCTGCGGAATGACTGCGACCAATCCGCTCAGACTTCATGCTCAATGTCAGCGACCCTTGGCACCCTATGTAACCGCAAACCACAGAAGCTGGCGACAAGCTCGATCTATGCCTGGTTAGTGCACATTACGAGACGGAGGTTGACTGCTGTCTTACGCATTGCTGAATTGTCTCCACGTCCTCCTTACTGACACCGATGCGCCTTGTCCCGCGCAAATGCCAGGCTGTCTCTCTCGGCAGATTTTGTATCATGATGCCGCTGAGTACGGTGAGCTCGGTCTCGACGTCGTTGAGGATGCTGTGATCGGATAGATAGAGGCCGTAGGTGATTTGCTTGCTCGTCCAATCTATACTGCATTAGCCCAGTATCAGAAAGCGGCCAGGGACTACATGCCGAAATCCTTTTGTGATGCCAAAACGTTGTCGATGCCCTCCTGGTTGTGTTGGTATAAGCGACCTTGCCATGCTGCACCACGTTTTGAGTTCGCTTCGTCACACTGCCATCCCTCTCTGCTTGTTGTCAGTTTTCGCAATCGCCTGCTGACGACGCGTGACTCTATACCGGGAGAATGTATAATCCTTGTCCTCTGGCCTCGTAATGGCATCGATATCGAAGATGGCTTCCAGCGGCTTGCACACGCCCACGATGACGATGAGCTTGAACAGTGTCTCTCGTATCCTCCGCATCAACGCCTGACGCTGTTCGGGTGTTTGGCATTCGGGTCGCTTGATGAGCTCCTTGTAGAGCAGAGGCGCGAAGCCCGGCTGCCCGCCGCCTACCATCGCCGCGAGCTATAATGGCTTAGTCAATGCTCTCATCTGTGTATATAAGACATACCATACCAGAAGAACATACCACTTGTCATCTCCAAGTGACTGCGATGGGAACTTCTCCTCTATGGCCTTGAACAGGGCAAGAGCTTCGTCATCGGTTGGGTCGCGGGGTATCGGGATAGTGCTGGTCGACATGGTGTTGTTCGTGCTATTAAGGCGGAAGTCGAAGTAGGATGTCGCGCCTTGCGGGATGTTTGGTGACTGTCGTCATTGGGTGTTCCGATGGTCGGGATGGACAAGTAGGACCGATCGCGACTGCGACGCGTCTTCGGAGGGGCGCGTCGCGCTAAAGCGGGGTAAACCTCCACCCGTCACCACGCCCCACGGAGAAACGCGTCTTTCCCCGGGGGCAGCCTTTTCTCTCAAAGCACCCGCATACACGCGATAATAAGGCTGGAATACCTGAAAACCAGACTGGGTGGTATACTCATTTTGGATCAAACATGAATACAAGCGCTTCGTGCTATCACCTTCCCAACAACAAGCCCAAGACTGTCATCATCACAGGCGGCGCAAACGGCATCGGCGCCAAAACAGCCCGTACCTACCATGGCCATGGCTGCAACATTGTCATAGCTGATCTTCCTTCCTCCAGTGACGCTGCCAATGCCCTCATCACATCTCTCACAGAGCCATCACGAGCCCGGTATCACCCCACCAACGTCACTAGTTGGCACGATATAAAAGCTCTTTTTCGAGAGACGAAAAAGACGTTCGGTCAAATCGATATCGTTGTTGCGAATGCAGGGACGATGGAGAGTAAGGGTTTCTTTGACTTCGAAGTGGACGAAAATGGGGAATTGATGGAGGCGACTGAAGCTGGCAGGGTCATCGACATTAATCTCAAGGGCGCCATGAACAGTGAGCTAAATTGTCTCACTAGTACTCTCCTGGTCTATCTCTAACATCATGTAGCTCTCCGAATGGCTATGCACTCCATGAAATCAAACCCACCGGACGCGGACGGTGCACGAGGTTCTATTGTACTTATCGCCTCAACGTCCGGATACTTTGGCGGGACTGGAGTAGTCTCATACATCTCTTCCAAGCATGGCGTAGTAGGCTTATCACGAGCCTCACAATCCGTTGCCCGACAGCTAGGCGTCCGCGTCAATGTTGTTGCACCCTTCTTTACCCCTACGCACATCACCTCGGGTTACTCGGAGAAGTGGAAAGAGAGTGGTCTACCTGCGAACACAACCGAGGACGTCGCTATTGCCATCGTGTCTACAAGCGTGGATCCTGCAAGACAGGGTCATAGCATGATGGTGAGTTGCGATGACTCGACATGTAGCGAAGAAGTAGTGCTGATTGATTCATAGGTTGCAGGCAACTTGGTAAGAGAGATCGAAGAGCCAAGAACGGCATCAACGAAAGATTGGTTAGGAAAAGAGATTTCTGACATTATGGCGAGAGGCGGCAAGTTTTTCAGTGACCTGGGCGGTTACACACTGCCCCAGGCACGATCTTAAGAGCTCTTGCGGGCTTGTTTCATGATCTAGTGAAAGCTCGAACCAGATCTTGGCCGTCATTGCACATCCGCACTCATGTTACACCACTTACTGCCGCAGTATTTCCAATCACGAACAAACAATCCCTAAAACTCCTCTCTACCCCACCACTGCCGACTCAATCAACCCGACCCCCCGCATCATGGAACTGAAACTGGAACTCAGACTGTCTGTTCCGCTCAGACGCCCCATCAAGCGCCTTTTCTCTCGCTTCAGACTTCCCGGCATCAATAGACACAAAAAGTCCATCCAGCCAAAGCGCTCCATCGATTATCTTCTAGCTCTTCCGGATGAGCTCAAGTTACAAATCCTACGCCTGGCTCTACCTAGTGGAAAAAAGATCGGGAGCCCGTGGGCCTGTCTAACATACAGGTCAAATATGCACGTTGATTCTGTCTGCTACAAAGACTGCTGGCTGAATCTTGTGCGTGCACTTCCTGAGATGGCTGGACTGATTTACGAAGTCTTCTACGGCCAGAACATCATATGGATGCCCGAGTTTTGCACAACGCTGGATCGATCCTATCCACCGCGCCCGATAAATATGTTCGTCCGACATCTTGAAATTGAACTTGTTCTCGCGGTCAAGAATCTGGACTATCTACGTCGGCTGGGCAATGGTGACCTCGGATTCCCAGATCTGCGATCTATCTCCATAACTATCAATGGCCACGGTTCGCCGATGCTGGGAGGCACGGCGAAGGGAAATGATATGCTAGACATCCTGGACGACGAAGATGACTTCACTCCCGCAGTGAAGGAAATGCGACAACACCTCGAAGCCATAGAACCAATCATTTTCCACACATGCAAATTAGAGATTACCTACAAGCATGCTTGGTTTATTGTCAAACTGCCAGGAGTACCACATTTTCAGATTTCTGATCCTATGGAGGATCTGCTCCTGCAAAAGATCACCATAGCTGAAGCGGCGGGTAACAACGTAATTTCGTATCGATATCATGGATCCACACTCTCAACTGAACCAGACAGGGAATACGTGGCTGCGTGGCCAGCAAGAGACATGTTTTTCAGGCCCGGCGCACGCTATAAGTTCAACTTAAAGCGCACTTCAGTCAAGCTTATAACCAAGTAAATGGGAGAGCCGAAGATGGATCTTGTACCAAAGTTAGTATTGAGGCAACATCTTGTTTGCCTGAATATACGTACTCGCTAGCTTGGGTGAACAGCTGCTGAGTTTAAATGAAATCTATACCAATGCATTGCGTCCGCAATAAGAGTGACTGAACCACGTGGCACGGGGACGTTTAACTGTTCTATGCCCAGGTGATGACTTTCAGTAGCTCTAACTGCATGTATGCTAGTTTATATCAGGTGTCATGCTCCATAGCTCTGCAGTCATGACATCGAAGTGTCGTCGCCCGCATCTCTCCACGAATCGCTTCATTCAGTAGCAACGACGATCAGTCTGGTTTAAAGATGTGCCCGCCCTAATTCATCCTTATCTGTAACACGTGGGTGAACTTGTACAACTCGCAGGCCGGCTCATAAGGCCAAACCGCGTCTTCGTCACCTTTCAGCATCGAACCATTTGTGTTGCTATAGCAGCTATACCTCTCCAACGTATCCCCATTCGTTCGTCCCTCGTTTGGGCTGATCTTGCTCAGTAGTACATTTGCGAATGCACCTAGTATGCTTTCTCGATCCGACAAATCTCTCCAGCTATCTCTGTAGCCTACGTTATTAGCATATGCGCAAGATACTGTGATGGTCTTGACTGGGAATACGATAGACTCCATATTCTTTAAGACCACTGCGACATGCGGTACTGAAGGCTCGCTGGACCGACGTGTTAGGAGTGTAGGTTCTCTCAAGATGACTTTCATCCTTGCGGCCGTAAGTCTGATCTCGATATCGACAAGCTTCTCGAACCCAAGCTTTCCCATCGCTAGCTGGCGTATAAATTGTATACCCTTCTCAGTCATGTGTATGCGCACGCACAGTCGCGGAATTAGCGCGTTCATCCACCCCGGAGGGTATGGTATGCCGCCACGAGGAGAGGTCGTTATCAGGATCTTGTTCTGTTTGAATAACACCTCGTATACCAGATACTTCAGTTCTGGAATGGCCACCAAGAGTGGCAAGACTTGTTTCGTGAAGTCGAAGGTATGAAGCTGATTTCCCTCGAAATCCGGGCGAACAAAGAACTTGTTGGAAGGTAGGTATCCGGACAGTACCATCAACTTGATCTCCTCCGGTAGAGCGAGGAGAGGGGGGCGTGAAGTAGTAGTTTTGGGCATTGCCTCGACCGGTAATGTGACGAGACTGGAGCACCGAATCTGCTCAGCTTTGATGTCTGCTTGCTCCATAGTATCGTCGTTTTGCTTATTCTTGTTCAGGAACCTGAGATTAGAGTTGGTAGTTGGGCTGGTCATTCGTGAAGAGAAGAAGCAACGAAATAGGAACCAGTCTTATACTAAGGGCGGTTGAGGAGCGTAAGAACTGCAGTGATACTGAAGAGTACATTGACGAATACATTTGGCCGGTCGTAGCTGCACGGTTGTTTAGGCTCCCGTGCTGGCAACTACGTACTGACCTAAGCAGGCACTCAAGGAGGCACTGAGGCAGACGTTTATCCAAAGCGGTTCTAGCGTGGGAGTGAATGCGATGCGCGGCCAATACCGCTAGGCCGTTGCTGCGAATGTCCATGACCCGTGATGGTGCGATAATTTTACGGACGTGCGGTCGCCTTTGATGGTATCGGTTATGTCGCGGGATTTGCGCATTGAATGACCGATGCTATTGGGCGATGTGTAGGAGTAATAGACTTCACGAGGCGATCACAGGGTTCATTTTCGTCTTAGTAATCCTCGAGCGAGCTTTGGCCCGGTGACGTTTTCTACGACCCTCGGCAACACCACCTTCTACGATCTGTCCAAACGTCAATTGAAGCCTCACGACAGACTCTCTGCACCATGGCGTCCTCAAGGCTAGTTGCTCGCTCGTCGCGCGCTCTCTTCTCCCTCCCGCGCACCCAATGCCGCACATTCAGCATCTCGACCCTCCGTAGCAATGAGTTTGAAGCTCTCAACAAGCGCACAAACGACACCTCCGAGACGTACCGCAAATACCAGATCGAGAGACCTCTGAACCCTCACCTGACCAACACCACATCCACCATTGCCAATGAGATGCCTTCAATCGGCAATGACGCAGCCCCGCCCGAGTTGATCACCAACGCCGACGCCAAATTCACACCCAAGGATTCTGTGCCCGAGAACACCGAGCGCATGACAGGCGGTACGCAGGGCAGCAAGGATCAGGACGTCAGCGGAGCGAACAGCGAACTGGGTGTTGGCGAGATGGAGGGCGCCAAGTTCAAGGTCGAACCTATCCGTAGGACTGGCGAGGACGCGAACACCATGCGTGCGAGGTTATTATGTCCGTTCATACACTGCCCATTCCCTGTTCCCCATGAAATACACGATTTGATGACCAGGACGAAACATGGCTAACGCACAATCAGATCAGAGCCGCAAGAGGGGAACCCTAGAAAGTGATCTCCTGCTCAGCACCTTCGCCGACGCCCACCTAAGCACCATGTCTCCCTCCCTGATGCAGCAATACGACACCTTCCTCGACGAGAACGACTGGGATATCTACTACTGGGCGACTCAAGAACCTACACCTACGTCTCACGAGACAGCTGAGGGTGGTGGCGCTGCCATGTCCAACCCCAATGCACAGGGCATGGACGCGACGGCACAGACAAAGCTGCCCGAGAAGGACGAGCGCAAGAGACAACCTGGAGAGGGCGAGTGGGCGCAGACTGTTGGAACTTTCAAACCCGCGTACAGGCCTGTGCCTAGCAGGTGGAAGGGCAGCGAGATTCTCAGCCTGCTCCGCAAGCACGTCAACGAGCGCAAAGCGGGAGGCGTCATCGAAGGCGAAGGCACCACAAAACAGGAAGGAAAGGGTCTTGGCATGATGCCTGAGATCAAAAACTTCGACCAGTAAAGCAGAAATCGCGCCTTTGTCACCATATCCTGCAGGTTTGCTGTATAAATAATGCCCACAACTGCCCCCATGCTTTCTCTCCTGCACGTCTTCGGTCTGTTTCACTCACAGACCATTTGCGCACTTCTTCCAGGATCCTTGTCACAATCGTGCCACTTTCAATATGAACAAACTCACCCAGACAAAACATCATCCCCAAAACCTCTTCCCATCACTACGAGGCTAGCAAGGCGCTCATAAGCTACTTGTTCCGGAACTCGTTCCTCCGCCCGCTCCCACGTGTTCCGCGGCATCCTAGGCTAGATTTCCTCCGGAGCTTTTCCAAGGTTATGTCATTACCCCGGCCAACTTCCCCACACGGCAAAGCTCGCTTCGGTAGTTCATATGTTTCGAAACTGCGCTTTGTATAGTGGCACCGGGTGTTATTGGAGGAAGTACTATTGTTCATGCATTTTGTTTAGTGTTCTGGTGTCACGTTCAGATGCATACAGCTAACGGTGCAAATTGGAGGAGGGGATGCGTTGCCACATGTAGAGGTTTGTCCGTACTTCTAAAACGCCGTTGATCAGTAACAGGTTACGGGATGTTCTCTGGTATATAGCTGCTGTATCCTTGGAAAGGTAAGGGGCATCTATCTCAGTATCGATCACTCTCCCTCACGATGCGGTTCACGTCCCTTCTGCTCCTCGCCAGCACGGCACTCGCAGCGCTCCCCTACAAAGGCGTAGACTGGTCCTCCCTTCTGATCGAAGAAGCAGCCGGTAAAAAATACAAAAATGCTGCCGGCACCGTCCAGCCCCTCGAAACCATCCTCAAGAACAGCGGCGTAAACACCGTGCGCCAACGGATCTGGGTGAACCCATCCGACGGAAACTACAACCTCGACTACAACATCAAACTCGCGAAGCGCGCCAAAGCAGCCGGTCTAGGCATCTACCTTGACTTCCACTACAGCGACAACTGGGCGGACCCAGGTAAGTTCTGACTGTATGAAGTGCATGTGAGACATATACTGACTTCGTACCTCTACCTCTGCAGGCAAACAAGTCGTGCCTGCAGCGTGGAAGTCGCTGAACCGCGAAGCCCTCATCAAGCAAGTCTACGACTACACGAAGAACGTACTCAACACCTTCGCTACCAACGGCATCGCCCTCAACCTCGTCAGTATAGGCAATGAAATCACACCCGGACTCCTATTTCCCATCGGCCAGCTCTCCGGCACCGATGGACCGAAGAATGTCGCTGCCCTGCTCAAATCCGCATCCAAGGCCATCAAGGAATCGTCCATGAGCCCCAAACCCAAAATCATGATTCATCTGGACAATGGCTGGAAATGGGATACGCAGCAGTGGTGGTACGACACCGTGTTGGGCTCGGGCGGCGGGCTATCGGCTGCAGACTACGATGTCCAGGGCGTGTCTTACTATCCGTTTTACAACAGTGCTGCTACGCTGTCTGCGCTCAGTACCAGTTTGAACAACATGGCGAAGAAGTATGGCAAGGAGGTTATGGTTGTAGAGACCAACTGGCCGAGTTACTGCCCAAACCCGTCAAATGCTTTCCCTGCGGATGTGAAGAGTATCCCAATCAGTGTGGATGGGCAGACGCAGTGGATGAAAGAGGTTGCGAAGCGTGTGGCTGCTGTGCCGAATGGCAAGGGTACTGGGCTGTTTTACTGGGAGCCGGCCTGGATCGCGAACCCTGGGCTGGGCAGCAGCTGCGGGTGGAATCTGATGGTTGGTGACGATGGTAAGGTCATGAGTAGCTTGGCTGTGTTCGGCAGCATATGAGCGACACACTGTGGAGCCTACACCAAGATAAAAACATGTAAAGTAGGTGACCTGACGTTAATGTAGGCTCTAGACTTATTCAGCTTTTTTCTTGTATGAGGTGCGAAGCTGTAAATGTTGCGTACGTTACAAGTTCAAAGACACCACGTGTGGGACATTGTGACAGCCCCCACCTGCACGTTCTATGACATCAGCCCACTTTTGAATCAATATGAGAGGGCAATACGTAAAGTCAAAAGATGTAGTGGAGACAGCAGTGACGTCGATCAGAACATACTCATGGTCAGAGCCATCTTTGATGTTTGGGTGGTTTCATTTGAGTACATAGCAGTAAAGCAGTGCAGACTCCTTTCCCTCCCGTGTCAAAAAAGCAGCCCAGTCCATTCCGAATGTGCAAAGGAAGATGTGTCAGGGTTCGTCATGGCATCATATCCTTCCGCTAAATGCCTTTTCGTAACCTCATTGCGCCCGCAGCAAAGTATCAACCTACTGCTCCTCAGAGTAGCCCTCACCACCAGCTGGCTGGGCCTCGCCCTCGCCCTGCTCGGCCTGCCTGGCCTGCTCCGCGGCTTGCTGAGCAGCGATGGCCTTGGCACCGTAGTCTTGCGACATGGGCTGGACAACGGGCTGCTCCTCCTTGGGCTCGATGATGGTAACGGAGTCGGGAAGAGTCTTGGATGGGCCGGCCTTGCCCTCGGGGTCGGAGCCGCGCATGATCTTAACCTTGATACCGAGCACACCCTGGCGGAGCAGGACGTGGCGGGTGGCGTGGTCGATGAAGTCCTTGGCAGGCTGACCGGAGTGGATCATGAAACCGTCCTAGACAACGTCAGTATGTCATTGCGATGCGTCCAACGTGTGTGTACGTACGGTGAACTTCATGCTCTTGGCACGGGCGGCCCTGAGCTTTCCGGAGACGACAACCTCGCAACCCTTGGCGCCAGACTCCATGATGAACCTCAGCACACCGTAGCAAGCCCTTCGGACGGCCAAACCATTGAGAAGCTTGTATCGGAGGGACTCGCACTGGGCGACGGCGGAGAGACCACGGTTCTGGACCTTGGCGGCGTAGAGGGAGACAGAGTTCTCGGGGAACTTGAAGCGCTTCTGGATGAGCGAGGTGAGCTCACGGATGCGGCGACCCTGCTCTCCGAGAACCTCCTGGGTGTGTGTGGCGCGGATGATGATGTCGGTGACGGTGGGGGTGACGCGGACCTCGACGCCGGAGTAGCCCTCCTCGGCCAGCTCGCGCTGGAAGAACTCGTTCAGCTCGGCGTAGAAAACACCGTCTGGTAGGGGTCATGTTAGCGACCGTTCTGTGTGCGCAATGTCCCGCGATCCTCGAATTCGACGTCCTGGCTTCGCAGGCTCTTTGCCATGCAGCAACACCAATGATCGCCGTCTCCTTCTATTCTCCGTCTACTGCGTGTGGGAAGGGTATATCGTACCAGCTACGAACTTTCTCCTCTTGGAGCTGCAGGCCGTCAGTACTCATTCCCGATTGCGCGTCATAGAGGCGTCCGGATAAACTCACATGGTGGTTTGAGTGGTGGCCATTTTGTCGAACTTTGGAAGGGCGTATCTGAACTCCGGGCGTGGGTGTTCAGAAAGGTCGAGCCGTTGTTGAA